CTAGTTTTGTTCTGCTTTTGTATTTTTTTTTCCTTTCCTTTTTTTTTTTGGGAGTCTATATTTTAATGTTAACAATAAAGATAAAATTTATAGAAAAAGAAAAAAGAGAAGTTACAGAAAGTCACTGTAAATGTGACATGATCTTGGCTTGCACACTAGTAAATGGCTTTGATTTTTTTTTTTTATGAATGACTGTGTTTCAAGCTTTACTAATAAGCCCAGACTGTGGAGCTTTCTGTGTTTCTTTTCTTTTTCTTTTTGACTAAAGGATGCAGCAGAGAGAGCATTGATGAGGTGTCATATAATTTTACTAGTTGCATAACTGCTTTTAACTACTAAACTCTCTCTTGATTAAAATAACAATTGAGCCTATAATTTTTCTGAACAGCTGCTGCTACAGGGGGTCATTACCTTGGAGAGCTGGGAAATAATTGTACTCCTAATACATGAGTTATGTATTCTCATGTTTTACAGCAATGCACAAAGTTTAAAGCCTATAGTAGAATGTTATTTGAAAGCTGTCAAACCATGTTAAAAAAGACTGCATCGTCAAAGGCCCTTGTGGCCAGGATTCAACATGTAGCCTTGTCTTACTCATTATAAAATACATGTTTATAAAGTTCCACAGAGCATCCAATTCCCAATTCACTTATATCAGCAAGACTTAACTTGCTCATTAATCTAAATTCTTTTGCAACTTTAATCTACATGTTTAATTAATCATAAAATGAGGCGGTAAGTAATTTCAGCAATGTGTGGCTTGTTATCAGATGCATTTAATCACTCTTCTGTGAGCTCATTTGGAAACACCTGAAGATGTCGAGAGCAGTTTGAATAAGCATAAATTATTCTTTGTCAGTGTACTTCACCCAACTAATAAGACATTAATTTAAAAAAGGCACTGTTCATCATTTTTAGATCTTCACCAATATTTTTAGCTCAGCAGGATAACTGTAATTGTACATATGGCGCAATTTACAACATAGTGCCCAACAGTAGAACAGGAAATATTATTCAATTCATTTTTCCTGTTTACATGTAATTACTTTGTATAATCTTGGGCTGAATGAAGATTAACCATAGTTATCAAATCCTAAACATGTATCTGTTCTTGGAACAAGTTCCTAGTTAATGGAAATAATAAACGGCGAATAATTTAACAGTTGTAGGAATAAATCTTTTCTTTATTTGCTTAGTGAAAAATTATTTGTGTTATTTCTTTTTGTGTGTGGGTCCAGATATGTGGCTGAAAGAGTGGGCTGTGTTTCTCAAGTCATTAAAAGGAAATCTTCCTCTTGACTTTTTGAAATTTGGAAGGTTGTCCGAAATAGATTCGAAGCACATGGGATGATGATGGTGGTTGGAAGTTCAGTCATATGAACATATGAGTTATGTTCACATAATATGGGATGTAACTTATTGCATTCAAATAAATTCTCCTAACCTAAAAGCCTAGTTTAAAATTTCTCTTAAATTTGAGATACAAATTTATGCTACTTTTGGGGAGAGAGCTGTGCTAGTTCCCTGTCTCCTACCCGATGAGTGATTTGAATTAAATATTTGCTCAGGTCTCTGGCATTTTATAATTCCAAACTGGACTGTAGCTATTTCAGATACTAGTAAAGAACTGAAAACTCCTGTAAATTCTTCTTGAGACAGCAACAATTGGGTCAGCCTTGGGAAGCTATGAAAAATGCAGAAGAAGCTATCTAGAAGACTAGAAGTTATTTCCCCATCCTGTATTAGCTATTTGTTTATTATCTATGCCAATATTCTGAAAATAAGTATGACCCTTAGTGCCTTAGGAGTGATATTTCATAATGGTGAGCAATATAGATAACTTTGATAGTTCAACTTCATTTTGATATGTGCATCTTCACTCCATATTTTAAAGGCTCCAGTTAAGACTTTGTATCACTTTTGTTATTTGTAAGATCATTAAAATACATTCCAACAGTGCACTGCAGCTACCAAAAAAGCCTAGGTTGCATCAACAGGGGGATAGTTTCAAAACCATGTAAGGTGATAATACCCCATTATACTGCACTGGTGAGACCACACTGGGAATGCTGCATCCAATTCTGGTCACCATGATACAATAAATAAATAAACTATTGAGAGCCTAGAAAAAATCAACGATTGAGGCAACTATGTATGTCTAGTGTAATGAAGAGGAGACTGGGGTGAAATGACAGCTGTTTTCCAGTACACAGAGGAGTCTACTGTACCTGTTCTCCAAAGCACCTGAGGAAAAGAAGTAATGTGTGGAAGCTCATTAAACAGAGATCCAACCTAGAGCTAAGGAGAAATTTCCTGACAGTGAGAACAGTTAATTAGTGGAACAGTGTCCCTTCAGAAGTTGTGGGTGCTCCATCATTGGAAATTTCCAAAAAGAAATTGGACAACTATTTGTCTGGAATGGTTGAATTAGAAGACCTCCAAGTTTCCTTCAAACCTTATTGTTCTATGTTGTATACTGTCTCTAAAATGCCTTAAAGATGGTACATTGATCAAAGTTATTAGAATAACCTCTGGAAGCTGTGTTATTTGTTTTTTCTTGCTGACAATAGGACTCTCTTTCTTAAGCAATTTGTAGCTTTCTTTTACTTTATACCTGTACAGATGGAGGACTTTTTGCAATGCTGTATAATACCGACTAACAGAAGAATGTAACCATGATCTGTGGAATGATCAGAATAGAATTCTATCCGTATTTCATTTAAGACCTGTCTGATTTTACCTCACCTCCAGCAATTCAAGAAAAACATAATTTGTTCTATTCATTTATTGTAATGAAATCCATAGTTGATATTGAACTATTTTAAATTAAATGCTGTCTTTTTAACAAAACATATCACTCTGGAAAGGGGGAATATCTGATATATCACAATGTATAACTTCTTCCATAACTTCAATTTTTTGCTGTTTTCCACAGTTACTTAGTCAGATAATTTTGGGACAGAATTTGTGTTTTTCTGGAGTTCTTGAAAGTACCAGTTAGCAATCTCTTATATTAGCATTTATACATTCTGATTGTATTTTCATTGTTTGTTAGCCTTCCCAGGTAAATGAGAAACAAGACCAGAGCAAAAGAGCTAATTCTAATTTAATGTAAAGCTACATTAACAGAATCTTGCAAGTCTGAAAGTACAAATCTCCCTCCATATCCTTTACATCCTGAGAACTTGGGAGAGGGGCTCTTCTGAGTGTTTTTCTCCACCCATTTTGCAGCTGCGGGCTATGCCCTCCCTTATCTGACTGTTCCCTAGGCAACATCTATTCCCCCAATTTCCCAATATCACTCTCACGTATCATTACACTGATCTTGTGAAAGGTTTGGAGGTGTGGGTGAGCTATCATTTCCTGGAATTTTCTTTGCCTATGAAGAAGGTTAAAAAAAAAAAGAACTAAGATGCTATGAACCCCCAAAATAGGATGTAAGAGAGAATGAGGGTTATATATACAATAAGGAGCATGATGATAAAGGTCTTGGAATAAGAAAATATTATAGAAATCAGTTTTAATAAATTCTTTCAACTTTCATCCTTATTTGAAATCAGCAAAACTAATTGTAAATTTTATTTATTTAAAATATACACCCACCCTTTCTCATTTTATGGCACTAGTAGGCCTACAAACATGCGTGTAATAAAGAATTGGTAAATAGCAGCAGCAGAAAAATCTTGGGAAAAAATAACTCTAAAAGATCTGGCTAAAAAGAAATTATTTAAATTCCCACCTAAATTACAACAAGGAATCAGTTCCAAAGACAAAAGATTTAATGAACATCAGTACCGGTACCGAATTCTTTCTTTGTTATGGTAAAGCTTTGATGATGAAGGAGGTGCTATTAATGTTGATGTTTAGATATTTCAGATGGGATAGACTATAAATTCCACAGAGAATCAAGGATTATGGAATCATCTATATGGGAATAAGCAGTCCAATAAAGAGTTGGATCAAAACTATGCAGGCTTTATATACCACAATGAGCATTCTAAATTGGGCCTCCCAACAACTTGTAACCAGGGCAAGCAGTAACTAGTACCCATTTTTAAGATAATTATGTGGTATATCTTGCAAGTACCACACACACACACACACACACTGCTACATTGTGGGATTGTTACAGTTTCTGAATAATGTGCAAAAACTACCCTATGAAGAATGCAACGGAATAATCTAATAAGTATTCTCGTCCAATTCCAAGTATGGGATCAGCCTATTAAACCACATGTAGCTTCATCCCCATTACCTTCAGATTAAATCTTTTCATGCTACAAACAGGCCATCTTGAGAAAGAATATTTAAGGGTCCCCAAGCCATGAGAAATTGGATTGGAAACCACCTGGAAACAGACCCTGGGCTTAATTTGTGCAACAGTTTAGCCTATGAAATACTTTTGACTCCCACCTGACTGGCTTTGCAAGAAAAGTTAAACGGAGCAGTAGCGGTGCTGTTGGGCTGCCTTTTTGGTTTGGGGAAGTGTAGTTTTGTTTTTGATACGAGAACAGGCTTTTTAAATGTTACAATGTTATTTTTGTTCAAAGGTCAGATCTGTACACAGTACAAGTGGCCCTGGAGTTATTCATATGGATTAGAAACATTTGAGTGGAGTATAATTAAAATGTGAACATTACTGCTTTTAATTACATAATCCTCATGGATCTGACCTTTCTTGGATTAGTCTGTATACCTGTAAATGATTTCAGACTAGAATTAATATTGAAAGCGCTGCTCAGATTTTTGTTAGAGGTAGGAAAAATTCCATATTATTTTCATGTAATTCTCTAGCTGTGAAGTTCATAAACTTATTGCAGCCTTCTACCATGTGGTATTTTCCAGCTGTGCTGCACTTCAGTTCTCATTATCCTCAAAACTGTATAGTCAAAACAGAATATTGCATCTTTTAAAAATAAGTAAAACTCTTCAATAGTTTGCTGGAAGCTGCTAAAAAGTGATGTGCCCTTAACATACTTTCCCCCCTTTGTTTTCTATAGGCCTGTTAGCTGCTGTCTTGCTATTTTCATTTCTGATGACAACTATCACGGGACACTGCTAGAGCTCAGAGTCAGCCTGTGCCGGGGCCAGGTAACTTCTACATACTTAAGTAAAATGTTTTTTTCTTGCCTGCCTTTCTCCGTTTAGTGTCTTTGTATCTCAAGATTTTTGTCTGGATGTGATGCTCAGGCAATACAAAATAAATTTGTGCAAATTTGTAAGTTTCATTATTCAACAATATACATTTATGATGTTGAAAACATCGTTGTTTGGCTCTATGAAACTAAGATCTATTTTATTAACAACAGATTTTTGAATAGATGATTCCCTGTAGTTTGAAAAGACTATGTGACTGCAGGAATTAAAAAGTGACATTAGAATTCATTGTGAAGTTATACAGGACATTCCTGCCATTGTACAGGTGTACTTTAAGTGTACCTAAAGTCTGATACCACAGCAGATGATTACAAATAACAATACTGACTTTTGTATGAAAACATATTTGGATAACTAACAGTGACAATAGCATTTTCTAGAAGCTAGTACATTTTTACTCCAGCTGAGTTAGCATACTCTGGAAGCAGAAATTCAATACTTCAAATTTATAAGGCTACATTACTTTGACAGGTGAGAAGATGGCTAGCATTTTACACTGGACTTCCAAGTAACAGTTCCTAAAATTCCATTTGAATCTAACCCTTCTTGTTTCCTATTAGCTGGGATTGTGACTGGAAGTTTTCCAGTCATTATTGAATAATCACAGCCACTTCCAAAAACAACTGAGAATTACAAAAGCTGACATAACAGTAGCTTTTGTTTATCATTTCTTTTCCAGGATCATTAACCATTAAAACCTGCTTTAACACATATTCTGATCCTCCTACCCTTCTCAGTATATACCGCCTTGTAATTTCAGTTCATAAACCCAGGAAAAGGATTTTTCTGAATCATACAGTTGAACTACACCTTATTTAAATTCATACTGTTGGCCCATCAAAAGATTGTAGGTGAATTCCACCAGAAATGGTAAAACATTTCCATTTATCAGCATTAACAACTTTGTTTGAAGAGAATTAACTTTCAGATCTGTGGTTGGATGCAAATTTGTATCTGCACATGGAAAAGGTCTGTTTCTGTTTGTGGAGAGAACTTGAGACTAAGCAGAAATTTCTCACTGTACTGGAGGAATAAAAGGGAACTGTGATTTCCTTAGATTTTCCCTTCCCCCTTACGGCCTTACCACTATTTCCCCCATTTCAGAGAGGATGGTATGCACCCCCAGTCCCATCTGTTTGAGGAAGCTCAGAAAACTACACAAGGAAAGAAGGATAAAATAACAAATAAACATATCCTCCTTTTATAAGCAGAATTCTGCTAATTCTAAATTTGAATCCATTAATAATTTTCATACAGAAATCAGTTTTTTAAAAAATGTTTTAAGAATATCTGAATTATGTCAGGCAGAGCATATTTGCCATTATACTATATGCTCTAAGAATCTTATTGTTTAGGAATAACTCTTTTTCATCCAAGCATTACATTTTTTTCATTTTTTAAATGAAACTGGAAATCACGATTGCAACAATCTAGTCCTTTTTCAAGTAATAGGTATAAGGTAATTTTTAAAAGTAATGGCAAAAGTTAATGCTTTGGTAATTGTCTGAAATGATCAATATTTCTGTGTTCAATGCTCAAAGAAAAAAATCCCATCTGTAATAACTTTTGGGAAACTAATTAGTAGATTGCACCAGAATTTTTAAAAAGATTTTTAAAAGTGTATTGCATTACTTGAAATGTGTGGATGTTTTTAATAAATGTTCTATGTTCAATATATGGCATTCCGAATATTCTTATAAATAGCAATAGATAATTGATTCAAATACCACATAATCCAATTATTAAACATATTTAGTTAAAGCACATTCAATAAATATACACTCTACTTGTTGAAAGCTTTTTGTGTAGCTAGTGAAAAACTAACTAATTGCCAATTCAGTTTATCAGATTGAATATCTAATATTTGTCACAAGGTTATTTTTGTAAAAAAAAAAAATTGGAGGAGCGAATGCTATGTATGTCATCTTGTACTCCTCAAGGAAAAGTGGTTAAAAACTTAATAAAATAGAGACCAATTAATGACCAGGTATTATCTGATGCTTGGTACCCTTTTATAAAATAAGATTCCACAGGATGAATGATAGAGGACAAAATATTTTCATGCCAGAATCACAATTAAAATTATAGCTTTTATATTTCACAATGAGGACAAAAGATAACATGAACAACCAGCAGGATCTTTAATAACTTTCATAATAGCAAAAGGACAATTAATAGAAAAAGGAAACAATTATTAAAAAAATACTGTATACCTCCAAAAGCATAGGAGCAAAGGAAGGATGCCTTCTACAAATCTGATGAAACTCGATTAGGAGCCTTACAAGTTGTTACTGACATAATACTATCAATGAATGTTTATAGAGATAACGTGCAGTTGAATAAGTAGCTTGGCCATTAATCTGTCCAAAAATATAATTTGTTCAAATAAAATGTTTGAATCTTGTCTGAAATTTTAAAAAATTCTGGTTTATCAGATTTGAGTAAAATATTTTACCCTGAGAATTCCTTGTGCTATTATTGATATTTTCAGCCGAAAAGCTAATACATTGTCTTGTTTTCCATGTGCTACCACTAATCCTATTATTTCAATTCTATGTGTTTTTAGAAAATTGTAAAAACTTCTGGTTGCGTCAAGAAACCTTTCTGTGTAATTATACTTTTCAAACTGCTTTTCAGTGATGTTCAATCACAGAATGATGTAATAATTTCATTGAGGAGGATAGGCCCAATTTTGGCCTAATGTTCTCTGATCCATTTTTTAAATGCTGATTTGAACCTCTAGAATACTTATAATGTACTTCATTTTAACTGAAATTTTATAGGAACCATATAATACTAGTGGCTGTAGTGACCGTACAATGAACCTCAGTGCTATAACCAGCCATCCTTTGGTAGAAGTTGTCTATATGATTTAGAAACAGTAATGGGCAACAGTTTTCATTGGGGTGGATGGGTGTCATGCTTTTAAAATTATTATTTTAGCTTCCAGGGACCACAGAGGGTTATTCAGTGATGTAGTGATATTATTGGGTGGATAGAGTTGAGGAAATTTCTTAATACATAGATGTTGACTATTATTTTAATTAAAAACAAAATGATCTGCAGATGTTTTGCGGCCTCATGTGGTTACTGGTTGTCCATTCTTGGTTCTGAATCTTGCTTTTCCAGGATTACAAATTTCAGGAAACGTTTCATGGACAGAGAAGGCTTCCTGCCGCAGAAGTGTTGTGTTCTGCATTTGGAGAACAATAAGGATAATAACAGGGCATTTGGTGGGGGTGAAACTAATGTTCTTATTACTAATCTTCCTTCTCAGGAGCATAGAATATAACATGTTTAGAGTGGCTGCCTCCAATAATAAGAGGAGAGTTTAAGAAATCAGAAGATGAGATTGTGGGCCAAATGACATGTTATGTTTAATGAGTAGCATTTAGTTCTACTTTAAGTATTGTTATTAGTTACAGATGTATGGGCATTCCTTTACTGATAAAGCACTGCATTGAGATAGAAGATTTATCTCTTTTATCCTCATTGCAAGTGGAACTAAAATGCTCTTCCACAAATAGTAGAAAATGGAAAAAAAAAAAAAGAATTCCTGCTGGCACCAATGAATACTTTTTTTCTTAAGAAGCCATGTGAGGGATACAGTCCAATCAGATTATACAGTATAGAAGGAAAGTTTATGTTTTCTTCCCCCTTTCATACTGTATTTCCCAAAAAGATTGCCATCATTTGCATATAATTTAACTGCATGCTGTGTATACTGTGTATTTTGGCTCATGAAATAAATCCATGACTGGAAAAGAAGTGATGTGGCCAGGGTTCACACATCATATTAAGCAATAACCAAACAAACCATATTATAATATGATATGTAATCTCAGCCACAGGATATAAGGATATCATACTGAGGCAGGGAATATGAGGCAAAAGGAGGAAGAAGATAAACTGTTCCATATTTTGTCATAGTAATCCTGGTTTGGGAAAGAGAGAATTAATTTTGAGATAGTGATGATTATTATGAGCTTTCAAAAAAACTTTTTGAATGATGATAGACTTATGGTAGACCTATCTCCTTCTTTCCATCTACTAGAACACTTTTATCCCCTTTTATTCAGGTTTGAGATTATCAATATTATACAACAGCATAGGTTTTCCATTCCTGAAATTCTTCCTTTTCAAAAAACTTACCATAAGGCTCTTGGTTCAGGTTGGTTAGATTCCTGGGTTAGAATATCTTCTTAGGGATTGCAAATATATTATTGAATAGTGCATTATAGAACTTCAAAATCTTGGCTTCAACTTCTGAAATGAATTTTGTAGAAAATAGCAAAAGTTACTATTGTTGAGTTGGAATCTGGTTCAGAAAGTATAGGAAAGAGATTGGAGAAGTTAGAGATAGAGCAAAGAAGATAAGCTTTTAGTAAATAACTAGATTTATTGAAATAACTATCAAAAGCACTGAAATCTGTTCACATACACAGCAAATCACATGTATGGTACATATGACATTTCTATTCAAACAGTATTTATATCTGTATAAAAATACCTGTAGGTAGACTACATAGATTTACTTAGAATAGTGGTTTGAGCTTATTGAATTTTGTAGGATTGATTGATTAGTTAACATTATACTAGTAGTGGGTAAATAGATAATATAAAGTGCTGACATATGTACATTGTGTAGGCTTAAGTGTACAGGTCTCTGTCTCCTCAATTGGTTAAAATTCCTTTTGTATGGATCTTAAGCAATGATCACAGCTTTAGGATCCCTGTTCTCCGCTACCCTCTGGACATCAGATGCCATGCTCTGTTGCATTTTCCCTGAGAGAATGGAAGAATACATGTGCCGGCAAATAATAAGCAGGTGGGAGATAACAATGCATAACATTTGTTTTGACTATGTATGAGCTGACATGATCCTCCCTCAAATTTCACTGTGAGTTTGCTAGCCTGAGGGCCAGACCGAAAGC